TTGAGGTTGAATAAAGACATAAGTCCATCAAGTCCAACCTATTGTGTGTGTGTGTGTGTGTGTATAGGTCCCTGAGTGTTCTCATTCTTAAGAGTACCTGTACCCTTGTACATTACGGTCTCTCAGGAAATCGTCCAAAAGCTTCTTGAATGATTCCAGACTATTTGCGGAAATCACTGCTTGAGGCAGCGAGTTCCAGACCCTAACCGCGCGAACTGAGAAGAACCCCCTTCGCTGGGATTTTTTGTACTCCTATATAGCTGGTGAAGAACCCCCTTCGCTGGGATTTGTTGTACTCCTATATAGCTGGTGGTATTCTGCATTGCGCTGTATAGGGGACTACAAATCAAGGAATACCACCAGCTATAGAGTACAACAAATCCCAGCAATAGTACATTATACAGTGGTGCAATGCCGAATACCACTAGCTATAGAGGACTACAACACCCAGCAATAGTACAATATACAGCGCAATGCAGAATACCGCCAGCTATAATGTACTATTGCTGGGATTTGATGTATTCCTCTATAGCTGGTGGTATTCTGCATTGTGCTGTATAATCTATTGCTGGGTTTTGTAGTCCTCTATAGCCGGTGCCATTCTGCATTCATTGCTGTATAATTTTACACTTTTCATTTCACTATATTGCACACCACACTTTTTTTTTTTCTTTTTTACTTCCAGCGCTCCAAGCTTGCTCCTGTGATGGACTGCAATCTCAATACAAACTAGTAGTCCCATCACTGGAGCCATTTTTTTAAAATTTATTGAATTTTTTATCCGATTTAACCGATTAATCGAACTTAATAATCGGCTAACTAATCGATTTTGAAAATAATCGTTAGCTGCAGCTCTAGCTGCAACAACTAATCGGCTAAGTCGATTATAATCGATGATTGAAAAAATTGTCAATGTTTTCAATCATCGATTAATCGGCTTTTGCTTAGTTGGCCCTGTTCACGGCTCCACACACGCCGCGCGCGGCACCTCCTCCCTGCCTCGCGCTTGCCGCTGCTAGACCCATCCGCCCGCATCCACGCTCCACACGCAGCCCCGAAGAAGAAGTAATGAGGAGCAGGCGTGGGCGGATGACAGCCGCCGACATACAGGCCCAATCTCAGAAGCAAGTTGCTGGAAGACTGCTCAGGTAAGCCTGCACTTTCCCCTCACATGGTGCTCTATAATGTATTACTGGGATAGTGGGATTTGTATTCCTCTATAGCCGAT